GCAGAGAAGAAACAGAGACAGATATGAAAGACAATGGATATTGTGGTTCATACTGTATTTTCATGCTTCATGCTGGCATTTCTGAAAGAGTACTACTGTGATACAGTGGAGATCAAGTCCCTCTGCAGAGAGGAGATATACAGCAATAGCTCCAGAACTTCTCCATGAAGAAATTAGAAATGACTGAAAACAATTTGCCCCAACCACCTCTAGTACCCCAGGGCCTCCTCCAGGTGGTACTGGTCTTAATAGTCCCTCATTTGTTTGGACAGAACATCTTCCTACACACAGGATACCAATCTCGCTCTTTAAGGAAGGTGCACAGATAATTGACCACCACTTTCAGCACTTTCAGAATTTGGCAGTCACCTAAGAAACAAGGTGGTCAGCTTCTCAAATTTATTTGAATGCAGGTTTCAAAAGTGTCATGTAGATGATGTGGCTTGATGCAATCTGCTGAACAATACACAGCTGTGCTTTTACACGAAGTGATCACCAAACAGTGTAAGCTGACTTACATGGGTTGAAGGTATCCATGAGAGCAACACAGGCCTAGGATGAAGGAAGGATATAGTGGGGCTCATATTATCTCAGTGACACCTTCTAAAACATGTTGTTAATGGACAGTGAAGATGGACTTTTTCCCACTGATACTTTACAGTGTTTACAGTGCTAATTTTGTTCACTTCTTTAAACACTTGATGTGAGAAAACAGGTAATTCACATAAGGTATATTGAACCTTGTTAATTAGATGAAATATATTGGGAAGATTGATTTATTCACAACATTAAACAACCACTTACATGGAAAACTCTCTGTTTTCTGACTGGGAACATGACATGTTGGTTGCTTGCTGATTTTTTAATACTTAAATGAAACCTTTTGGCGAAGACACAGCAGCTTCTCTGCTTTTCATTTCTGTTTTTCACAGCTAAGCAGACAGCAATGCACTCAACAAAAACACAGAACTTTATTAGGCTTAGAGGCATGTGCAAGAGACAACCATAGAAAAGTACTTCCAAGATGTGCTAATCATCTGCAAGAAGTAAATATGTTATGGCAGAGTAGCCAATGAATAGACAAGGTTGTCAGGAGATGTGCAGGCTGTAAAACATGCTGCAAGGCAACTGCACACAGAAGATGCCAAAGCAATCTCCAAGACTCTTGTTATGTCTGTTTCTCACAGCTCAGCACCACATTTGGACACAGAGGCCAAATGATGCAGCTCTTTGACTTCCCATTCCGCGGTTACACTTCTGGGCAGAACCCAGATGATCTCGGCCTCATGCTCCAAGTACAAGCTTGAGTACAAGCTCAGCTGCGCCCAGCTCTCACAGCAAGGGCAGTGTCCTGCTCTGCTCAGGGCCAACACACACCACTGAGTCTGAACCCCTCCACTTGTCATGAGTGGCCAGGTACCCTCCCGCTTTGGAAGTTACTGCCCCTCCAGTCCAACTGATGTGCATTCAGCATGTGAAAACTCTGTCATCCAGTTAAGTCCTCAGATAGAAAAACCCAGTCTGTGCATTTTACTTGGAATTTTGACAAAATCGGGGGGAGGGGGGGGGAGGGGTGCAGTTATGCAAGCAGCTCTTCCAGCAGATCAGAGAGGTGATATCCTCTGAGAGCATAAGTGGTGATAGGCAGCAGTGGGATGTCTGCAGTGGGATTCCTTCCTGCCTGCCAGTAGTGTCCTCCTCACACCAAAAAATGTGTCTGCCCTTGGTCTGATTCTGACCAAAACTGTTTTTATGCTTAAAAAGGAAAGAAATCTTAATGCTTCACTTACCGCATATATTTGTAAATTTGGGCTATGACAACACCTCAAGGAGCAAAGACAAAACTAAGTATTCAGGTTTTCCAATCGAAGAATATACTTGATTGTCTTTCTGTTATTTGAAGGAGGTTTTGAATGGCATTCAAGTCTAAGCTTCTCCATTAGAGCGGGCAGATGTCACATTTTCATATAAAAACAATTTATTATATGTACATTGTAATAGCAGGTGGCCGTTGTCCTTAATGCTTACATAGCAGTGATCTCATTTAGGCTGACAATCTGTGAGCTACATGCAGCCAAGCCATGGACCATTCCCGCAGGGTAAGGACTCCACAGTGGAGCACTTCCACTGGGCCTGTGCAAGATGGACCCCACCAGCACCAAAGCTGCCTCTGACAGGATTTACTCACATGACTCGGTTCTGCAGGACTGGACCTCTGGGCTTCTTCCATTAACTACTAACATATGCAAACACTGAATCTAATTCCAGCTCCATCTTCAGTCTGCTACAGATGATTTTTTACTGTGACATATCATACATGGAGAGAATAATGGCTTTTTGCCCTCAGTACCTGGTTAAGAAAATAATTCCTGACACAAACCCACATTTACAGGATACCCAATGTACAATGCTATCTTTCAGCTCTACCAGTTTTGTACTACTCCTCTTCCATTTAGCTTTAAAGAGGGAAAAACTAACTGACTCTGGTTTAATAGTATCTCTATTGCTAGAAGGAAGGGCGTGACAGTATCTTGAGGTATGGCACCTCCAAAATGCTGCAAATCTACTGTCTTAAGTTATATGGAGGGGAAACATCACTTTGTTGTCAACCAGTTGGTAAAAAGGACAGTTTGGCACAGTGAAGAGGAACTATTAAGAATTCACCAACAATTTTAAAGCTAAGCACTCATCTACATTAGGACACGGAGACCAGCAGTGTTTGATATTTCTAACTCTCATCTCACATTTATCTATTTTAGAGCACTCTGCCCATCCATACAGATTCAGCAGAAAATCATTCTGAAATTAAAACAAGAGTGAAGAGAAATTGCAAACGAGAATAAATAAGAAGTGAGGGACAACTGCACCTTGAGGCTCTCAGTTATTAGAACAGATTTCAGCAAGTGCCTTGGAATGACATGCTGTTTGTCTAGAGTTTCCAAGACAGGTTATTCAAGGGCACACACAGCCTCTCTCAGGACTGAGCTCTGCACCATGTGGCTCTCAACCAGCTGTGGAGCTGGAGGGCTGTGTGCTCTTCTGGGCTGTAACCCTTGATCACCCCTCACAGTAAACATGTGCCCCTTGGTTCTCTGTATCTCAACTTCTACACATGTTCCACTCCTAAACAAATCACTTGCATCGAAAAAGGAGAAAAATGTAACATTATTACATTACATCATTGCATAAAGCACTGTAGTTCTATCAAACTGCAAGGGAAATAATCTTTTGGGAGCATTTTGCTGGTGTAAGTTGAAGCCTGTTGACTTTCTTTCTGGCAAAACTACACTTGTTCATGGCTTTTATTCCTGGCGGGTGCTTCTGGAGCTCGGTCTTTAAATCTGGCAGCGCCAAACATCTGCAGCCTGTAGTGGCCCTTTTGTAACATCTTGCTGCTTTTCTCTCTTTCCATGGACAAATCCCAAAACTGTGTGTCTTTTTCCTTATTGCTGATATAGTGGTACATTCTCCCAAGAATAATAAAAGCAGACTGGGAACACAATAGCTGGCCTTTTAGCTAAATATTTTGCAAATACCATATGAGTATTTTAGGATTAATGACCTATTTGCATTTGACAGTCAGGGGCATTGTCTGATTCTCTGCCTTTTCACTTTTGCTTCTGTATTAACTGGTGTTCCTCATATACAGAGGAATATTATTAATCTGGTAAATTGCTGGTCTGTTATGGCTGTTTTCCATGTCCATCCAGCTATCTAAGGTGGTTAGTGTATTCCACATGTTTCATGGACTCTGACTTTAAATGTGTATTTAAGCCATTAAAATAAATGTACTTTTTTTAAGATTTTTGTTTTAAAAATTGCTGATAAATTAACAGTGAACAGATCAGAAAAAATATTATTTTCTTCAGTCTAAGTAGCAAGTTTTAAGGGCACCGCCGACAGTTGGACAAACATAGTGATTTCATGGACTTTTGAGGAGAAGGATGTGGATGCAGAAGGAAACAGCTTAATTGCAAGGATTAATGAAACTGCTACTAGTTCAGTAACTGCATGTGGTTATATGCTGCAAATGAAATAACACTTGTGGAAGACAAGAGGGCTTTTCAGAGAATCATTTAAGATTTTTTAAGTTCAAACATAGCATACACCAATTAAGAGGCTGAAGAGCTGAATAAATACAGAAGTAATTTGATCACATGCACAAGGTCAAAGGCAATGGAAAAGTTAGAAAAAAATTCTGGGAAAGTTAATAAAACAAATAATTTAGGAAACATCTAACAATTACAATCTCATTCATCATTGTTACTCGGGCAAAAACAACTTACACAACAAGACTGTTACAGGTGAACAACAAGCGAATTGGAAAATAAGACAATGGAAAATTTGATATAGTTTGGAAGAGTAAGGGGAGGACCTTAACTATCAGGAGAGATTCACACTGGGAATTCTTTGCCATACCAAAAACTGCCAGAGTTCTGAGCTTTGAATATGTGCTGAGAGCTAAGAATAGACCAACATTTTCTTGATCATATTCCTTTTTTCTGATTTTGATGTACCGAGAAGAGTAAATGTGATATTTCTTTTTCCTTCTAAGAGGAAAAAGCACTGCCCATATGGGCTTAACTTTCAATCTCTAGAGTGAGAAATGCAACAAATCTATATCTCCTTTTTTTGATATCTTGGTATACGTATAGGTGCAAGTGCAGAGCTCTGAACATATACAAACACTAGCTTGTGTATACTGATGTGGAATCTTTTAATCAATGGAGATGCAACACTACAGAGGATTGTGTATGCAGTTTTTGGATGTCACAGCTGTCTGCAGTTAAATAATTCTGCATTGAAAAAACTACACTAATGTCTGCACGTATTTGAAGCACTGTGCCTGAATGCAGAAAACTGTACTAAGTAGACTTCATCTGTGCTGATCCAAGACTATGTGGTAATGAATTTGCATTGAACATAATGACACAAAGAACAGATGATATTGAACTGATCTACTGCAATATGCTGATTTGAAAAAAAAAAAAATCACTTCAAACCTTTCTTTCAGTTTATGAAAAGAATTTACATCAGCAATTGTAGCAACAGCCTGGTTTAGGTATCCACAAAGTGAGAAAAGTCCATTTCAGAGGGTTGCATGGAAAGGGAAGAATCAGAACTGGAAGCTAATATGAGGAGAAAAAAAAGAAAGAAATAGCCACTCAGCAGACACATCCAGACCATTTAAATTAGACATGTATTTACTCGTATAATTTCTCATTTTTTTGGCCATTAACATAACTTGTACAATTATTGCTTTGGACATTTTATTTCACTATAGTCATAATGCCATAAAATTACTTAAAAAGAGAATACTTCAAAGATTTATTATTTTTTTCCAGTATATTAGTGTTGAGATATCTGTTGTACAAATGCAGAAGAAAATAGTCTTTGTTTTAAAACAATTACAAACTGTATCATCTGTGGAATTAAGCTCTAAACAGATAAAATGGTAGGGATAACAGAAAGAAATTTACCTCTTATACAGAAGTCCAAGATAAAGGTGTGAGAATCACTGCAGTCTTCCTGTGTTTTGACAAAAAGGTTCAATTCTGCAAAGGCAAGAATTTTGTTCTGACCAGCAGCAGGGAAACCACAGGGTGAGGAGAATCATTTGTCACACAGAAATTGTGAGATATGTTTGCATATAAACTTTTAATTAAAACTGCTGCTCTTACCCTACTGCTGGTGGAAGCTATAAGGGTGACTAATTAGGTCTCTTGCAACCCAAACAGTATGGGTGCTAACTGTTAGAGATTATAAAGCAGTATTAAGTCTGGGAGAAATCTGGTTTATGATCTTGCATAGGGATCCATGTAAATGATCCTGGTTTTTAACACAGCTATCGCAGTTCTCAGAAATACCCTGATGATAAAGCCAGCAAGACTTGCAGTTACCAATAAACTTACAGATTTGGCTCTACCTTAGAGTGATAATGTAAACATAGCTCCTGGTTAGCTCTGTAGCGAGTTTTGTGCTGGCAAATTCCTGTTCAGCTCACAGTTTCACTGGGTCTTGGCAGGGGAAAGGGGTCTCACAGCAAGACTTGCACCAGAGTTTGATCCTTGGTAGCATTGTGCTGCCCTGTGGGTCTCATGGTGCTCTCCAGAAAAAGTGTTGGCCAAGGTGGGCAAGGGCAGGATGATCAAAGGAGGCAAATATCTCCAATCTGCTGCTGCTGGACATTGATCAGAGGAGAGGAGACTCTGCTCCCCAACATCAAGAATTGCCACTGCACTCTCTGGGCTATTATTGCATACAGTTTAACAATCAAAGTGGGAGCCAAAAAGTAAAGTGGTCCTGTCAGAGGTTACAGAACAAATCAGTGCAGAAGATGGGAACACACTTACTCCTCAGTAGGAGTCTATTGATTTTTTAACTGCTGGGCACATTTGGCTGCTGAAAGAGTCATAGAACTCAAATGAGATACAAGAACAAATAATTCACAGTAGACCTCAAAGATGAGTAATTTTGGCAATGCATCTTACCACCCCTGTAATTTCTTTTCTCAATTAATTTAATGGAAGATATTGAGAAATGATGTAGAGGTAAAAAAAAAAAGGAACAGGATTTTGCCTTCAGCAGTGGAACGTGGATTGTGAAGGAGTGCAGAAAAATAGCCCATGATCATCCACTGAAACCTGAAGGATGTCAATGTCTTGCCTGAACACACACATTTTAGCTTTCTTGGGTATCTCACTTGGTCTTCAGCTGCCATTCCAGGGTGAAGCACAACTTCCATGGTTCTCCTGTCTTCTCTTCTGGCCTCATTTATCATCTCAGAAATGTGTGTAAATGGAAATAAAGCTGCATTTGAGGAGTGGTGCTTTGCTACAGTCCAGGCTGTTTCAGGTCTATAAACCAGCTGGGTTTGGTATCACAGTGTAGTTAGTTCTCATTATTGGTTATGTCCACACCTGCTGAGCTTTGGGATTTAAGTGATCACTCTTTAGTTCACTTGAACTTTCATGAACAATAGTGTGTGCAAAATTCAAATTACTAGAAAAAACACTACCTCTCTTTTAGTTCATCCTTCATGTTTGTGGATCAGGTTGGTCTTGGAAATGGATTGGCGCATCTGGTCTGCTTGGGAAGAAAGAAGAGATTCAATTAGTAGACTAAGTTACTGATGATATTGTCTGGAGAAAAGAGGCTTTCTTTCTCCAAAAACTATTAATCTCTCAAGCTAATCTCTTTCTCAGAGGCCTAATATGTTTGGAGAACTGTATTACTGGAGGAACTGATAGAAATGGGACATCTTCCCTTCTTCTATCAAATTTAAATTATGCCTAAAAAATTATGCAGAAATGGGAGACAGTTAGATTTCAGTAATTGACTCACAGCTGATAATGTGGGGTCTTCCTCTGACCTTCCAGAGGACAAAATTCCCTTTACAGTGTCAATGGGACTACTGGGAGCCCAACATCTGAGAAAGGCTTCTCAATCACATTGCCAGGAGAACACCTTAGCCACAGAGAAGTGATTTTGACCTTGTGTTTTTGGGGTAAAGTGTTACTGAAACTGTGGACAGGCATTTTAACTCTTTGACAGGCTGTAGATACTGTTATTAAATAACACAGTTATTCAGTTTTGGAGAATTTGGCTAGAATTTTTAAATTTTGTAATTTCCAGAAGTCAGCAGGAATGTGTAATTTCATCGGAATTTGGATCAGGATCTTACTGTGTTGAGATTTTGTTGTTAAAAACGTAATTTCTGCACCTCAAGAGCCACAAGATATGTTTCTGTCAAAAGATACCCTTCCCCTGTGCCATGCTGGACAGAGCTTGTTTTTGCTGGTCTGGAGTCTCCCTCAAACACAGCTGAGCACCCTTCCACTCTGCTAGGGTCTGTTACCAAAAATTTCTCACCAGCTCCTGCTGTCAGGAAGGAGAAAATGTAGGTTACCATGTTCCTCTTTGGTCTGTGGAATGCAGAGTTGCTCACTTCTGCTGATGAGAGTCTAATGCCTACTTAATTATAGAATCATGTGTCATCCTAGTCTTCTTTAAGCAACTTAGAATTTTTAATGTAAGGGAAATGTTCTGAAATTGTTAATCACAAGGGATCCAACCCCAGGAACCAAGTATCACCTAGTCAGCAATACAAATACCATTATATCTGAATATCTCCTGCTTGTGTAAATTGTGGTACTTCAATTTTTTTTGCTTCCATCATGTATATTTGGGGGTGGATATAATTTTCCTATTAAAATCTATATTGACCTCCAGAGTAAATACTCTGTTATATTAGCTGCCTATTTAAAATGTTTGTGGTCTTGTATTTCTTTTGAGTGTGCCTGTGTGAAGTCTGTCATTGTATGTCTAAGAATATAAGAAAATTAAAACCTATGATTTTTTTACTTTTGGCAGCTATATGGCTTGGAGTGAGAACATAATGCAATGGGGTGAGATTACTGATTTGAGATGTACAAAACTATAACTGATGTGCTATTTGTTATGTACACATGTATATGTATGAATGTAGGTATATATATAGAAACGAATATATGTGTCATGGCACTGAACTGCTTCTGTAGGAAGATTGTTCCTGATAAGAGGTGATTAGGGAAGGTCCACACAAAGCTGGAAGGGGTACTGGCTGTGGTACCCTGTGAGTTTGCTGTCCACCTGTCACTGTGCTCCTGTGTTAGGTCTTGGAGCTGGCATGAAGTTCCCTTAGCTGTCTCACCAACACTTGTCCAAATAATGCATTTTCACCTATAGAGGTATCATTTCAGCAATGCCATAGAAACTTATGTATTGGATCATAAGTTGGATATACTGTGAGTTTTATAAGTTCTGCTTCCTTCTGCCACAGATCTACACTTGTATGAAATACATGTCTGGATCTCACTTGAAATCAGGAGGAGTTTGGAATTCAGGCATCACTTCAGCTGTTTTCCCTGTATCTCTGTATGTTTGGAATAGTGATAGAGGTTTTAAACTCTCCTCCTAGACTCCTGTCTCTGATAATTGCCACTCCTAAAAAGGTGCATATCTTCCCTAATTCTAAAGGATCAGTATGGAGAAGCAGATATGGGCTGTTGATGTGGGTTGTATGTACAGCCCCTTGATGCAGGAGGTCCTTAGGTAATACCTCTGTGAACCTCATCACCATAACCGCATGAATGCTGCCTGAAGGCCAAAGGTTATCAGAAGCCAGTGAGGAGGAGAAGGCAAGAGTGTCATGAGAGATTGTGTTGGTGGTGCTGCCTTCTTAGGCACAGGCCAGGTCTGAGTCACAGATCTCTAATAATCACCACACATTTACAAACTTTCTGGGCACACTGAATCTGTGAAACTGGGCCATGCTGAATAGTGAGAGGGGCAGGATGGTGTCAGAGATTGAAATGGTTAATGATTTATGCATTCCAGGAGTTTGCAGGCTTTGACTTTTGCCCTAAAAAGGCAAGGAGATACCTCAGATGGATAGTTGGGCCCATCCCTCCAGTGCTAAGCCCTAAAAAGGCAAGAAGATACCTCAGATGGGCTAAGCCCTAAAAAGGCAAGAAGATACCTCAGGTAGGCAATTGGGCCCATCCCTCCCTCCAGTGCTAAGCCCTAAAAAGGCAAACAACTCCTCATCCCAGGGAGGTGCAAAAGCATGCTGAGGGTATATAAACTAACTGGTGACTTTGGGATTTGGGGGTTCTCCTTCTCCCCCACCGCTTGTGAATCAAGACCATCGCTCTCAAGCATCGCTGGATCCAGTGGGCGGTGACTATGTCCATTTCTTTTACACTCTCAGCTTCTCTTTTCCCTTACTCTCACCCTGTTTTTCCTCTCCCCTAAACAGTTTCTCCCCCCCCAAAAGTTATCTCTGTGTTGCATTGTTGTATGACAACACCCAAAACGCTAGCATACCTGTTGATACAAAATTGTTAAAATAAACTTTGTTTTCAGACACCGATTATTTAGTGTCGTTTCACTTTAATCCACCCCAAGGGAATTATTGATAAAAACCTGAGTTACCCCCCCTCCTCTTTTCCTGGGGCGGCTCGTAACAGATGGAGAGAAGGACTAGTTTGGTTTAGAGAAGCCTTTGGTTCAGTTTGGATCACAAATTAGAAAAGGAAGGTCAGCCTGCCAATGAGTTGATGATCCACCTGAAAGTTTGCTCATCTAGAGGTCCTCAAAGTAGGCTATAGCTCTGAATCAGTTGTGAGTCCAAAGTTGACCATGATACAGGAGATGCTGCATTTTCCTGACCAACTGTCTTTATACAGTCCCTTGTATATACCTTGTATAGTCCCACAGCAGATGACCTGCCCCGTGGGCCTGGGATCTGAAATAATATTATTTTCACTTCAGCAAACATCTCAAATTAACTTACAATTTATTACAATGGTAAAATACTATGGTCTTTCTTATGTTAGTTATTAATGAAAATATTTTCACTGGAGGTTTACTTTGCCAAAAACCTATGAAATTAACTGCACCAGTGAACTATAATATAGGTACAGCTCCATATAAATTATTTGATAGGGAATTAAAAAGTAACAAGGCATCAAATCTTGAAGAAATCACTTACTCTTTGATTGGATTTGAGACCCCTCAGGTGACTCAGTTGATTTGCCAGGAAATGTGAATTTTAAAACCATGCCAACAAAAAGCAGAGCACACCCTCAACCTAAACCAAAAGCCATGCCTGAAAGTTTAACACACCAAATTTTAGCATATTCTCAGC